AAAGTCGATGGAGAAGGGGGCGTGAGGCACATTAGAACTTGGGGTTCATCTTTAATGTGTGAAAGGTTTTGACTTGGAAGATTTTAGTGAGTTTCGACCCTTTTCGAGTTTCTTTGTTCATATAATTACTTTTATTATTTTATTTTCAAATCTTTGTGTCAGCTAAACAGTCACTAATATTTAATATATTATCCTTTATAAAACAAACTGATTGAGTAATAGGTTTCATCCATAATTATAAATTTTTAAAAATATATAGTGTTGGCTAAACCGACACTAACCTCTATTATAATATATATTAAAATAAAATTTATTATTTAGTATTTGCTTTGACCGATGCAAATGAAAAAATTAATGAAATAATATAAAGAAATACATGACTTTTGTTTATTGTCCATTTAGAGTTAGCTTAACTGACGCTATATACGTATACTACATGGTCGATGTTGTGTGGCCAACGCTACTTTCAAGCATTCTTGTAGTGTAAATTGTTTCATAATATACCTATATATATAAGAAGTGGGTATTTATTTTTTATAATGAACTTATTTAACTGGCGATAATCTATACATAACCTAAAACTTCCATCTTTCTTCTTAACTAACAAAACAGGAGCCCCCCAATGTAATATACTAGGACAAATAAATTATTTTTCAAGCAACTCTTCTAGGTGTTTCTTTAGTTCAACTAGTTCAGAGGGTGACATCCTATAAGGTGCCATTAAAATTGGTCCGGTTCTAAGCATCAAATCAATTGAAAATTCAATTTCCTTATCAAGTGACAAACCAGGAATATCATTTGGAAATACTTCAGGAAAATTTTGAACAACGACTATATTTTTCAAATTAAAAATTAAATTTTTCTATCAGGTGATAAACCAAGAATATCATTTGGAAATACTTAAAAAACAAAATGTGAACAACGATTATATTTTTTAAATTGACTTCGTCTTTTACTTTCAAGGAAGATAATAAATATCCTTGGATATCATTTTTTGAAGATTTACTTATTTGATTGGTAGATGAAATCAATAGATTCTCAGAGTTAGGAAAAATTACATACTTTTTTGCACAATTCAAAAGAATATTATTGGAAAACAATCAATCCATACTCAAAATCACATCTAATTGTGATAAAGCTAAACATATCAAATTTACAAGTAATTTTTCACTTCCAATAAAAAAAAGACTGTCTAAACAAACATTGTGGGCAACCAAAGATTTATTTGTAGGAGTTGAACACAATTAAACTAGTAAATAGGAAATAAATTGACAATTCAAGGTATTTAACATAGTCATTAGAGATAAAAGAATGAATTGCGTCTGAATCATATAGTACTTTCAAAGCTTTACCTTTCATGAAACATGTTCCTTGAATTAAATAATTGTTTTGGTTAGCTTCCATTCCAATCATAGTGTAAACTCTCCCAATGGTAGTAGGCCTAAGCTTGGGTGTAAAATGTGTTTTGGTTTGTACACATTCAGGTAACACATGACCAGACTTTTCACACTTGAAACAAACAGGTCCTTTGAGATGACAATCTTTAGTATAGTCCTCTCTCCACACTTAAGACATTTTATCTAATTATTTATAGGTATGCTAGAATTTTTTTAGAAGAATTGAGTAGTTTGGGGTCTCTATTGATGACGATTATAGGGATTTCCTTCATTATTTTTCTTTTTGTTTAGTTGAGGGCCAAACTATTTTGATATATTGCCTTGATTATTTTCAAAACCCTCTAAAAAATGACATTTATGAATAAGTGTACGAAAATAAGAGATTTCTAATACTCCTACTACTTTTATAAGTTCAGGTCTAAGTCCATGTTCAAATTTAATGCAATTCATTCTCTTATCTGGATGATAGAAGAAAGTGGAGTATTTACCTAACTCTTCAAACTTGGAAGCATATTCTCCCATTATCATACTCCCTTGTTTTAATTGCATAAAATTTATTTTTTTTGCTCTCCTAACATCACTAGGAAAACATTTTTCTAAAAACTTAGCTTTAAATATGTAATGATTATCCTTCCTCCTTCTAATAGTCTCCTAATACTATCCCACCAATATTCAACTTCGCCAACTAACATAAAAACATCATAAGTTATTTTTTGGTTATTAGGACAATTCATGGCACAAAATATTTTTTATATCTCTTTAATCCATAATTCAACCTTTTTCAGGATTGTAAACCCCCACCAAATTGCAAAGGTTTATTTCTTTTGAACTCAATTAATCCCTGTGATTCAACAAGCCTTTTAGATCTTTCATTTCCTTGTCTTAATAGAATTACAACCATGTTCTTTATAGCTTCCACAACTTTTGTTACCTCAGTATTTCTTCTACCACTTGACATATGAAATTGTACAAGTTAGAGTTTATTATATTAAGAATGTGGTTAGCTTATTACCCAAATCACACATGGAACGTCGCTCTGATACCATTAAATTGTAACACTCATTTAAAGTATAACTTATAATTATCTATTTATTAAAATGAATCAAAGGAAAAAAAAGAAGAAGAAATTATTACATAACCTATAATACCAAAATTAATTGGAGATACATAAAGAATAAGTTTATTTATTACTCATACATACAATTACAATTCATATTTACTAGTGTTTTTTACCAACTATTCATAAAAGAAGAAATTTTTTTTTTTATTTAATTACTATTTCACAAACCTCCTTCATATTTCTTATGTTATTCTTACAATAACAAATATTATATATTATATAGTGGGTTGACGTGATTTGTTGGAGGAGAGTAAAACTGATAGTTATAGGACCATCGAGAAAGATTGGTAAAATTTTGTTTATTATTGAAGAACCTTGTCCATCAAAGTGACTATATTAATTTGTGTATCAATTGTCCATTACATGCTAGGAAAAATGGTGTGTACAAAAGTAGTGAAAGATCTAACATTGGGTGAATCAATCTATATCAATTTATAATGTTTTTTCAAAAAAAAACAAAAATAATAATCCAAAAAGGCAAAAAAAAAAATACAAAAGGAGTGAGAATATCAATCATATAAATCAAATAGTTAACTAAGTAATTAAAATATAATAATAAATATATGCTTCTTTATATATATATATATGTATATAATATACACACATAATTATTATTATTTATTTTTACTCCTACTCTATGGAGAGATTTTAATTATTAATTTGTAGTGACTAGTCGGAATAAATGAGTTTACCATGATTTCAATAACACAAGGATATCTCACCTTAATTAGAAATATACTCATTTAAATTCCCAATATTAAACTTCCAACTACAAGTAAACTCAAACTTTTACTACACTTATATATATAATCATATTAATCATAATAACTTAATAATCATAATGAATTTAAAAATAATACTTATTACTCTATTAACTATTATTCTTTTTAGCTTTAAATTATATATATATATATATATAT